GGGGGGGGGGGCGGGCGGTGATTTGCCCGTCTTAAAGATGGAAGAGAAAAATTGGCTTAACTTACTTTAATCACGATCTTATTAAGAAACTTACCTTAATCATCATCTTAAGAAAATTATTAACCCTTGTCAGTGCTTGCTCTTACGAAATAAACCCTCTGGGGTATGGGCAAGCTGCAGTTAGAGATTGCAGTGCAATGCAGGGTTACCTGGGTCAGGCTGCAAAATGTCTTTTGGGTAGAAAGCACCCTTATATCACATTGCGAGAACTAACAGGCCTAGGTCATAACATTAAGCACCATGACCACGCTAAGGGCCTGTATATCCTGCAGCCTGAAAGCATAGACACAGTCAGATTTGTCTTTCTTCTGCTTAGCTTGGTTAGCAACATGCGCGCAGCCCACAGGAGGTCAAGCCAAAGCAAAGTATCCCACCTCTTAGCCACACATGGGCTGCTTCTAGGTTACAGGCTCACAGATGAATCAACTATAGTCAGACTTCTCCTAATGTAGTGTTTGCAAGCCTTCAGTGTACATACTTCCCATCTAATTGGGACAGTGATCATATGGTGTGTCCTCTGCTAAGAACAGCCACAGCTCCTCCAGGTGCATGCATTACAGGGGGTGGGCCCGATCCTGGTAGCCAGCACCAGCTGCATTGTGTTTTGTTGCATTTAGGAAGTAGACTCCTTTTCAGAAGAGAACTTAAGCTCACACTTCAGGTTCCTTGAAATAATATATTATTTCAAGAGCCAGATCTTCAGTGTGTGTAGACCATCATAGCTCTATCCATTTCATAGGGATCCAGCTCCTGATGGTTTGACTCAAGCTCTGAAAATGCTGGCAGTCTTGTTCTCCCAACACATCAGTACCCTGCTTCTGAGAGGTGCCTGTGGTTCACACGTACGTGTATAAATGTGTATTTTTAACATTCCCCAACTGTGCTAAAACCAAAGCATGCTAGTCACGCATTTGCGCTGAGACATTGCACGTCGTGTGTGTTAAGCTCCCAGATGCATGAATCCGTGCACGCTGCTGTGATTTAGCTGTCTGGCACTCTGACTTTGGGGAAACATGAAATCGCTATGTAGAATTGTGCTTCTCTCTTGCACATGAGCACTTTTACCTCCTGCGTCCCCTCTGAGGGCACACAGTCATGCATGCTGCCCATCAGTCAAGCAGCAGGGAGGGCTTGGTGCCCATGTGTGTGTTTTGAGAGCTCCTGGATGTGCAGCTCTGCCATGCTCAGTAGCAAATTTATTTCGCATGAAGAGAGTGCTATGAGCAGAAAGCAGTTAAGTCTGCATAGGACACTGGCATGAAGCTCCTGAAATGGTGCCGAGGTGTGTCTATATCTGTTAATAAAGCAAGGCCAAAGTGTGGGCAGGATCACTGGCCTCTGGTCTCGTTCAGCTTCGTTTCTCCTTCTCCCATCCCAGGGGTTCCACACCCTTATGTACCTGTGTCCCTTCATGTTGCGCCCCTGGAAACATGAGCAGTACTCTCAACTTAATGCAGTAACAGCATCCCAAAGGGCCAGGGTGGCCGTTGTGTTATTTCCCACAATCTGTGGGAAGAAAACACACCAAAGTATCTGAGGGCTGTAAAAACATACAACGTCTTGGGGCCAATGGGACATGAGCTGGACCTGGAGAAGATGCGTGGCCAAAAGAGTGAACCTGCCTATTTCATGTAGCAGTGTGGATGTCACCAAACTATCCTA